AGACCGCAGTTCCCACATGCTGGCAGTAGCTCATGCAAACAGGACCAGCACTGGTCATGTTGGCAATTTTGGCCTCCGTGCAACCACCACAGTTGGGATCATACTGCCATGTAGCAGGCCCCTCATACTTGCACCAAGTGGCACAAACTCCGGGCACCTGTGCTGCAAACTGTTGAATGAGTGAGGGTGTGCAGCCAGTGCAATTGGGATCATACTGCCATGCGGCAGTCCCCTCATACTGGCACCAGCTCTCGCAGTTTCCGCCTGTCGTTGCGGCCTTGGCGTTCGAAAAACATGATGCAAGGTGAGTCAATGAGTATTGTCAATCAAGAGCAGCTTCAACAAAATTCAATTATCCCTCAATCTGCACTCTAAGCCAGCTGCTGCATTGACCGTGGCACCTTGGTTCAACAAGGAATGGAGTTCAGTTCCTATCTGTGGCACAGTGTGGCAAGCAACATATTTGCCCTCATGCCTGTGCTTCAATCATAAGCAGCAATAAAGAGGCTACGGTTGATGTTCAAACCCGGCATGCGGGAACAGGATGGAACAGGAACCTTTACAAGATTTTGCAAGCAATACAAGAGCGAACATTGTGTTGGTGTTGGAGTGGAAACTCTCTGCCGCCCGGAGGCCTCTCTCCGCCGTATCTGCAAGGTCAAGCCTTATGCTAGAGTGTGTGGAAGGAAGATGTGCAAACAGACTTGGCAACTGGAGAAATGGGCCTCCCTCAAGAAAGCGTCCCCCATCTGCTCGCCCTCCCTCCCTCTCTCTCATGGGTGTCAAGCCTAGGCGTTTGTCCTCTAACCAGTCGAGTTGTCCTGGTTTTTGCCGACAGCTCGGGCAGGCACTGGTTCTTCGACAGCTCAACCTTCACCTAACAAAGGACTCCAAATACCCAGCTCCGCCGCAGAATGTTTGCAATTTTCTTGCATTTTACTACCGCCTTGTCTAAACAACTAGTGACTGATGTGCCAGCGGCTCCTGCAAAAGCTCCGTGTTCATCTCCAAAATTTCTTCATGCTCGGCGATCTCCTGCCGCTCAGCGTTCGCTCGCAAATCAGACAGTGGAGCAAAGCATATTGCAAAAGATGTGACACCTCCGCAGTCCTCATGGTACTTAGCTTCTGAACCAACACTAGAATCATTAGACTAGAATTATCAATTTCATAGTTCCTTCATGTTCCTTCAGTTTCTTCATGTTCCTCCTTTTTTTAGAAATCAAGCCCACATCACCTGGCCTGGCAGGAGCCTCCGCACTCCGCAGCTGCCAGGGTGAGGCATCCAAGAACGAAGACAAAAGCCATGCTGGGCGTGGCGTTGAGCGAGACGGAAGTGACGTGGCATGAGGTGACATGGGATCACGGGCACTCCCAAAGCTCCAGACTTATCGGAAAATCCATCGAAACGGATCCAAAGAGATGTATTTCTGTCCCTTCCCTCGATCACACCCACATCCCCACAAACTTGCTGGACCCGTATATTCATCATGGGGCGATCAGCCACCCAGCCCTATGAATGGCCAGCTTTAAGGTTCTGGCCCTCCCCTCCACAGTCAACTGTCCAGCTGCATCACCGAGCCGTTAAGAGCCAGACCAGGCTAGACCATCAGATTTCATGGCACCAGTCCAAGCCGAGACCTTACGAATCCTTGCGTCCATGGCTAATCAATGCATTAAGATGATTAAGGTTGTGCGGCACTGGTTAAGGCCTAGAGAGGCGCCCAGAAACATCAAACTTGGAGAAGCGACCTTGGGAGTTGAGAATCCCACCCTCCAAGGTGTGGCAGCTTCAGCGGACGCAGAACCCCCGCCTATAGCGAGTAAGTACAGGGTTCAGCCAGGGTATGGGATTTCAATGCTGAACCGCTTGGGCAAAAGAAGCTTCGGAAGTAAAGCAAGTCTAGCTAAGGTTAGCTAATGTGCCAAATGAAGCTGCTCATCATCCATCTCAGGACTTTGGCTTTAAACAAAGGGTAACCCAAACACCCAAAGAATTCAATGCCGTTCCTATAATCTCCGCGGATTCGTTGCGTTGTGTCCAGCGATTGGGACAGCCACACATGACGCTCCGCAAAAGCTGCGCCCAATTTTTGTCGCACTGATTTGTGCGAGCATCCACACTGGACCCAAAGGCACCTGCCACGTCACTTGGTGCAGGTGGCCGGGGGAAGTGGCCGGCTTCTTGGAAGCAATTCCTGATGAATCCCCGTAGTGTTCAGTTGAGCCGATCCGAAGTTGAAGTTGAATGTGGAGGTGAGAATTCTGTATACTGGCGACTAGTCGTCTGCAGGAGCATGGGAAGAACAGAACAAAGCAATTGCACTAGACATGCGTTCACAACCCCTCAAAGCCAGTCATTCGAATGTCCACCTGTGTCACCACCCAGCCCGCCTAGGCCTCAGAGCTGTCGCTGATCTCACAGCATCGCTGGGCCCCCTGCTGAAAGAAAAGGTGAGGATTCCAGTGTGGCTGTGCACATGTCCTTGTCATCGTCCAAAAATACGACCACGAATCAAAGCTCTATATCATATTGTTTTATCTATCTATATCTATATCTATATCTATCTCTCTCTCTCTCTCTATCTATCTATCTATCTATAGTATCTATCTATCCATCCATCCATCCATCCACCCACCCACCCAGCCATCCATCCATCCATCCATCTATGAGAGGCCAGCTTGCACAAGAGTGAACAACCTCCTGCCTGCGGGTAGAGACAATAGTGCCTCGCAAAAAGGAAAGTCAAACCCCGACAGCTCTCCTTCTTGCAGATCTTTCGTTGGAGTTCATCTCTCCCGAAAGCAACCCCGACTTCAATGCCGCGTCACTGCACCATGAAGATGATGTCGAAGAAGACCTCAATCGAGTCGAGGAATCCTCTTGGCTGCCCCGCGCATTGCATGGCAGAGTTCCCGTTGACCACTTCTGTGAATACGGCATGCTCCATGACTACAATGCCACCCATTCACATTGATATCATTATATCGCTGATCCGGGTTTCCTGATCTTCTTTCTTTCGGAATTTCCGGTACAAGAATTATCAAAAACACTCAGCACTTGAATGCTGGTGCTTTTCAAGCATGCCCTCCCCCTGCTTCCTTCCAGGTCCCTTGATTTCGAGGACCTTCGAACGACCCGCATGAACGAGTTCAAGCCTATAATCTGCCCAACCCATGTTGCCGCATATGCTCCTCCACCTCCCACAGCTCAAGCCAAAACACAGAGACGTTGCCAAGCCTAGGGTCAAAAAAAATCTGCAAAGCACTGCAAGCACCGTGACTCCAACAACTCTTTCCAAGTGAACTTAAGTGAATTTGAACAGCAGCATGAACTGAATCCATCAGCGTCCACGATGGACTGATCAATGGAAAAAAGCAAAAATGCTCGGTCTTAACGGTCGATCAGCACCTTCAAAATAGGAGATCGACCTTCAAGCGACAGAGATGTTCTGCTTACTGCAGGCGCTTTTTGGCCTATTTTGGCCTACGAATTAGTTTCAGAATCGACCAGCGGACCCCCATTTAGTCAGCCCAGCACAATGCAACAGATTGCGGGCTCTTTTTGCACATGCGCTTCGCGGTCAAACCAGCATTGCAGCTGGTGGAAAAGGAGCCGTTCTCTCTCTCTGGCCGCTTCCTGTCTGGAAGGTGTAGCATTGGTAGCTGGATCGTCCAATTGGAACATAGTTGTAGATGAGAGACGCATCTTCCTCTTCTTTGGAGTTGAACTTCTGCGAGTTTCTGCGGGCCTGTGACATGAAGAAGTTGGCAAAGTACTGCATCACCTCGATGGCATGAGCTCCGTGGTTGATCCCCTCACCTTCAGACCACGAGAACAAAGGCCTTTCAGGGTGAAACTGAACTCCAAAAATGGGAGATCGTCGTCCTTCAATCGCGGAGGCAAAGGCCTTTCCGTGCCGGTCCACATTGGTCGACAAGACGGAAAACATCTCTCCCAACCTCTGATTCTTCACGAACTCTTTTGGAGGAACTCCATCGTGGTGCAAGTTGCTCGTCAGATTTTCCGTGGTGACCCACTGCTTCAGGTGCTGGGGCATTTGTCCAAAGAGCTGCGAGTGAGCTGCCGCCTCGGTCAGCTTCAAGGGCAAAGACTCATCCTCCGAATCGAAGGCATAGGTCTCCAGCACTCTTCCCGAGCCGGCGCCCAAGATGGAGAGCGTCTGCAAGCCCATGCAGGTGCCCCAGAGAGGCACGTGCTCCACCGAATCAATGGTGAGATTGAACAAGACTGAAGCAGCATGAAGGTACTGCTTGGCCTCCTCGGTGGACTGGTTTGCAATGTCTACGCCACCCCCTGTGAAGAGGACACCGTTCACTGACTTGAAGACTTTTGATAGCTCCTCATCACTCCAATCATACAGCAGTGGCACTACACGTCCGCCAGCTGCCTCAATAAACTTCACGTAGAGCGATGCAAAGCAGGACGTCCCATACGTCCCTGACGCTCGCCCCGCTCCAACGGCTCGGGCCGTCTCACAGCCCGTCGCGGAGGGAACGGTGAGCACTCCAATGATCGGTGCGTCGTTCGTCGCGTCGACGAACGACGCCACCAGGGCCAAGGGGGCGAAGAGTCTCATGGCACAGGCGGAGGGAACTCCCAAAGTGGCCCCCCAAAGTCCTGGCCCCCCATGTAACCATGTACCAACAAGGTGGAACAGTTTAAAGTATCATGTAGAGTCCTAAGGTGACGAACCCACTCCTCTCCCAACATGAAGACGAGCTGCATTGATGCTTCCGAAATCTGGAGTGCAGCGCATCAGAGCCAAAAATGCAGCGTTCGCACCATACCATGACCCTTCAAACGAACTAGCGACGCAAACTTCCATGCAGAAGTGTCACAAAACGCTCAGGAAGGCAGAAGTAAGGGGTGCAGTGCAGAGGGGTGATGCGATGGGTGGTGAAAGTCACCGAGTCACTCGCCGTGTTCATCCCTGTTTCTCTGCCCCGAACACGACGGAACTAAGCGGCCCTTTGGTCACCGGCTCGGCCCGCACCACGCGCACCAAGCAGCATTAGCTTGGCAGGGTCTCCAGAGACTTTACTCCAGTCATCAGTCAGCCAGGAGTCCAGCAGCAACCTCAAGAAACTGAAACATGAGATGATTCACTAGCCAACAAACATGGAAGCGGCAAGTGGCCCTCTTGGAAGATTATAGGTTTATGGTTTTTTCAAATAGGGAGGTGTCCACTTCCATGTTTCGGTGCCCCAGTCCAAAAGCATTCACCCGTGCGGCCCGTGTTCTTTGATCCTTTTGGGCGCTTCTCAGGACCAGAAATGTAGACTGTCGATCAATAGAAGCCCTCTATAGGATATGAACATGTTTTCTAACACGAAGGCTTTGATTGATCAACAGGCTGTATCCAAAACAACCGGGTCTTCGGGTCCAACCCTCCGAACAGGTCGGCCCACAGGTCGGCCGGGAGACTGGGCGACACTGAGCAAACCTGGCGGGACGCTGGGTGGGTCATAGCTTTGCGGTTCAGATGAGCACACAAGAGAACATACAAATGAAAGCACACGAAGACATGAAAGCACACATATGACGTATGAGAGCACAAATTGAGAGAGCACGCACATGAGAGCACACGTGTGAAAGCAAACGCACACATATGAGAACCTAACAAAAACACTTGCACTGTGCAGTCGCCCTGGATCAATACAGCTTAACTAATTACTACGGTAATTAAGAACCCCAAGCGTGGTGACCCCTCTGTTCGGGGGAACAAACTTCATCTGGCACCAGCCTCCAGTGAAGTCCAGGAGAACATTGTAGATAGTCCAACCAACCTGACCCAGTGCAACCGGCCCAAGGTTGATATTCCGACTGGTGTTCTCAGTTGCGACCGTCACCGGGAACAAAGCATGGTCATGATTGCATCAAGTGCGATGACAAACTGTCAAGCTGCAGTCTCTATGTGTGCATCCGTGCGTGCTCTGAATATAAAATACTTATTAATATGGTTGTCTAGTTATTCCTCGACCCTCAACACTGCCCAAGAAACTGTGCTCTTCCTCTGGTAGTTCAGCCATACTTGCGGGCAGTATTTCCTTGGAGCGCCGGGACATAGAGCTCTCCAATCAACACAAAGCTTTCTTGGCCAGATTTAGCTTTCTTTGATGCCATGATTCTCTCTGTACGTTTGCATGGCACCTTCTGTGCAGGGGATAAACTGCCCTTCATACGTAGCTGCAAGTGGTTGAATTTGCGCCAAACACCATCCCCACCCGGACACCCGCCACGACCGTCACCAAGTCTCACCACAGAGATGATGACTTTCACCTCCCAGGAGGCCAATGTTTACAGAACTGCGACAGAACAGGATGCGACAGAACTGCCCTGGCTACGTGTGCCCTGGGCCTCAGCCAAGGTCGACAGGAAAGTCAACCACTTGGAGCAGCACCTGGTCAATGTGTGGCGAATGTCCGGCGATCGAGCCAACACTGAGAACAGTGATTCTGCATGTCCTGCAACAGTCGGGTGCCAGCTGTCGGGAAAGAGTCGCACCGAGTCGCACCTACCTCCAATAGTTGCCACCCAAGGCATTTCAGGAACCAGGGGACCAGGGGTTGACAGACTGCTTAGCAGTGACCTTTTCTACGTCTCCTTGGTCTACTTCGGAGCCAAGGTACCCTGAGAGGCTGCCGAGGTAGATCGCCAAAATGCTAGCGCCCAAACCTGACTCTCGACCCACGTTTGTTTCGGCCCAGACGGTGGAGGAAAGGCATGTGATTATTGAAACCCCCAAAAAGGCATCTCAAAAAAAGCAAAGGATCCTGCAGATCCTTCCTTGAAATCCGCATCCTTCCATGAAAGTGTCTTCAAACCTGGTTCAGCAAAAGGGCTTGACGAATCTGAACTTCTTGTAGAATCCGATGCATGACCTACCATTTTGTTCCGTCAGTCCTCCGCTTCCGTGTCAATGCCCCTCGGTGTCCTTCCGATCCCCCGGTGTCCCTCCCTCGCCTACGAGAGACAGGGATCCGATGACAGCACGTCGAAAGATCCGTTCCTGGTGCCTCAAGGGGGGATAGTCCCAGTAAATACCTCGGCGCCGAACTCGCGCTTCGCCTCGCGTTCTCCCAGCCCGGACCCGGAGAAGCCGTGAAGCGAGACGGACTGAAGGCATCCTCTCTCGGGCACGTCCGTGAGTCGAACAGTGAGTCCCTTTGGTTTTCCGGTGGGCTGAGTTTTTGCAAGCACCTCAAAGCCGAGAAGGTCCTATACACCCCCCTCCCGAGGGCGACGAACGTGGACTCTGCACTGTTCGGACTTCGCCACTGGTGGTTTCTGATGCTCAACTGCCCTGGGGAGAGGAAGACATGAAGCCACCCTAGCAATGGCTCAGGCCTCGGCACGGCACTTGTTTCTGTACACAATCAAAATTGCTGTGGGAAGCATCGAACTGACTGACTCCATTGAAACTGTCCACCATAACAAGGAATCTCAGCAGAAGATTCTGTCACAGCTTCCACAGCAAGGACATTCATTCTAGCTGGCATGCATGGATTCAGGCAATGGGATCACACTCAAAAGGAGCTGGAGCGGCTTTGCTAGCAACTATAGCTTAGTTGGACGTCTTATTCCATGGTTCGTTGTTCACAATGCTGGCAACCATCCTGCTCCCTCTGGCCAGTGCGAACCCCAGACCAGGTGGAACCACAATGCGACCAAATGCGCACTTGGAACTCAAGTTTTGCCTCTGATCTCCTGTCCCTGGTACAGCTCCTGGTGAGTGTAGGGATCAGCCTCTCGAAAGAAGACTTCCCGTTGCCTCTTGAGTTTTTTTTTTGGGGTTGCCCACCCCTCTAAGTCTTCACATCCGTCTCACTCGCGATCGAGGCAGCTGGACCAGTCGGATCGAGGCTCGAGAAATCGGTTCCGAAAGCCAACCTCATCTTGGAAAGGGATGTGCCGATGGGCTTCTTGGCAGCTGCTTTGCGATTTCCAAGACGAGGTGCACGGGACCGCGTGCTCTCCGGAGAAATGACGTCAGAAGCTAAAGGTGTCCTATGGACCTGCTTCAATGCTTCAAGGAGGCTCTGGGAATTTTCATGTCTTGAATTGTGGCCGTGTGGAATTTTCATGTCACACCAGCACACCTATCTTCACCGCAGCCATCCAGGAAGCGTCTGTATCCCCCACTGAGGGCGGTTTTTACGTGCGCCAGAGTGGCGCAACGGAAAGCGATGCTCAGCGCTTCTTCATCTCCTTCACCACAAAACTACCATAGTTGCTGGCCTTGGCTGACCCAGCGCAGCGCGCCAAAGCCAAGGTGTCAGTGTCAGTGTCAGAAAATCCTTTCAAAACCTGGTGTTGACAAACTCACGGATCTCCCCACCAAATCTTGATCTCCCTTATGTTGGGGTTCATGCAGGAACTCCTTCAAGAATTCTAGCACCAACGCTAGGCCCAAACACCGACAGGCTCTGCAAGGCTTCGATGCTCTCCGCCAAAGCTGCCTTCAGCTGCTGCCTGTCCTGTCAGGACTCACACTTGACTTTGTCAGCGGAGACTGGCCATGACTTGCCTGCACCTCACTGTTCCAAGAGCTGCACGGTCAAGTTTTGCACATGTTGTCCAATCTTGTTGCCATTTACTATGATAATTGGTAGATCTGCCATATTCTACATGACAAGGCAGGACTTGGTGTGAGACCATCTCGTCCTCTGGCCCTGCATGCACCAGAGCGCTTTCGATCACGTAGCTAGCCACCTCGTCTGAGAATATCATCGAAGACCCCGAAGGCCGAAGACCCCGATCCCAATTCTTCCGCTTGGCTAGCCACATGAAATCCATGCGCTCATCAGAATCCCCTCCATTGACATCAGAAAGATCAAGGCCATCCAGCCACATCTGAGGCCATGAACCCAAGCTCCCCCCGAAACCGAAGGCTGCGACAAAAGGGGCCGAGGACCCGCGCCTTGTGCCGTGCGAGGCGCTTGGCTTCGGCACAGAGCTGCTGCAGCAGCTGGTGCCGCTGCAAAGCATCGCCATGCTCCAAAAGGTGCTGAACCACGTAGTTCCCATAGGCATGCCTAGTGACTGGTCGTGGGGGCCGCTGTGAGGGCACCTGAAGGATCCTGAAAGTAACCACACCCTTGGTGATTCAAAAATCAAAGACTATGGCTATGGTGATCATGATGTATGTCGTGGATCATTTTCATAGCCAAACACCATGTCTTCATACGAATCCAAATGGGTTCTCTATCGGCTCGGCGGGTGGCCCTGACTTGACTAGGCCAAGTGGTGGTGCCCGAACCGGGTTGAAACTTGCAAAGAGAACCAACAAAGTCAAACCTCGTACATTTGGCTCAGACAACATGATGCCTCCACACTCCACTTGCTCTCCAAATCACTTGCTGAGCTCTGCTACATCCGACCTCAACTGAAAGACGCAGACTCACAAGACGCACCTCACTGCAGGTGGTGCACGCAAGCTGGTCAGCTGATCCTTGTCCAACCCACTCAGTGGCTTCGATTTCCTCTGCAAGTCAATCGTTCTCCACGAAGGTCCAGGCATCGCTTCCATCTCTTCGAGATTGAAACTGATGGATCCCCATGGCCGTTTCTCGACTCCGGGTCTTGGACTCGATCTGCACACGGGCCAGTGTCCAGAGGTCAAAGGTGAACGGCTGGATTACATTTGGCGCTGGGTCTAGACCCAAGGATCATGGTTGACCCATCAAGATGAACAAGTGAGACTCGCAGGGAGGTTATTATATATATATATATATAATCACGCCCATATCTCTTCCCGTAAACCAGGCCGGGCCCGGCTTCATCCCATCAACGTCCACAGACTGACGAACTCGAAAATCGTCCACATCCGCATTGCCCTTGCGGCTTGGCCGGGGCAATGCGCAGCAGATGTTCGCATGTTATGACAAACACCCTGGCAACGACGGCAGGACCAGGGGGCGCTGTGGAGAAATGAAACCATTGGGAGACAAAAACCAACCCACCTGCCGCAAAAATAAAATTTCTACGCAGCTTGCAAGGGTTTACGAATTATTCGCCGTGCGTGGCAGTATTGACTCTGGCATGCCGTTGCGCCGGCGCAAATCAGATAAATCCACGGTCAACCTCCGGATCTCCATGCCCACCTGGACATCCAAAAGCACATCAACAACAGAATCACACCCCAGTGCCCGATTCATCCGCCGCTAAAACCAAAGTCGGACAAAAAAGGAACACGTGAAAAGCTGTGTGCGCTCAATGTTCCAACTCTTGCAACTTTGCCCGGTCGCCTTCTTGAGGGCTTGTCGGGTCACCTTGTTTTCATAGCTCATCTTCACCAGTTGGATGCTCTTGGCTGGACCCCGTCCCTGAAGGCAACCAGACACGAACTCCTCAAGGTTCACCAGGCCCGTCTGATCATGGTCCATAATCATGAACAAGGTCCAAACATCCTGCGCCGCTTTTTCGGCCGGATCAAGGGTATAGTTCTTCGCTTCTTCCTGCCTGGCCTGCATCACTGGGGCCCACTAAGAAAGCAGCGTTTAGACTTGCATCTGGTTTGTTCCCCACCTGCTGGGTGAGGGTCGTCTGGTGTTATATCACCGCTGTCCTCCCTCCCTCCCTGCGATCTCATGCAGTGGGCACCACCGGTGCCGAACCGCAAGCGCCAGATCGCAGTGGGCACCACCGGACCTGAACCGAATAGAGTTCCAGAAAGAACGCCGGAAGAGATTCCCAACAGATTGCCGGAAGTGGTGTTAAAACTGCAGGCTTGAAAGCCGCACTCAACGAGAAGTGTACCAACTTGAGCGAACAAAAGCAAGTGCGCTCTGTTTGCATCCTTCCTCCGGAGAATGTGTGGCGACACTTTCGAAAGATGAACGATGCTCCGGATTCACTCAAGACTCCCGATCATGAGCGGGGCTCCAAAGAGCTCAAGGCCCTGAAGGCTATGTATGGATTCAGCGATGCGCCGCTGATGTTCCAGTTGGCACTACTTCCGTACTTGGAAGAATCCTGTGGGGGCACCCGTAGTCTGTTTGATTCAAACTTTCTTTACTGGTTGGAATGGATCAACAATCGTTGGGAAGTTACATTGTTGTTGACAGCACATGTTGATGATCTACAAATCACCGGAAATGCACAGAAGCGTTCTTGGATTCACAAACAGCTAGAAGCACGGTTTGGAACCTTGAAACGGCAGACAATGTCATAAATGCATGCAGGGATCGAACTCGAGAGACTTCCATCCGGCATACTTCGTTTGCACCAAGACAAGTTTTGCAGCAAGTTGGAGCCAGCAGATCTCAAGGACTTGCACGGGACTCCTGAGGACCAGCTCCTCGCACCGGAATACGTTACAGTTTTTCGGAGCTTGACATGCGGTGCATTGTGGGCTTGCCAGACGAATTGTCAAGAGTTGAGTTAAGTGACCTCCTTGCAGCAGAAACTGAAGCAACCGACTTACAGAGATTTGTTGATGATCAACTCGGTCATAAAGAGGCTTTCGATCACCTTCCAAAGACCGTTTTGGATTGTACTTCAGACCTTTGAAACTGCCCGTAAGGGTTGTGTGTGTGTCGGATGCATCATCAGCCAATAAACAGAGCAGCTACGCAACTGAAGGAATATGCATACTCCTTGCTGAAGATATTTTGGTGACACCGGAGACAGATGCTCGAGACTTCTTGAAAGAGGCACAAGTTGCTTTGACAGGCGGCTCCATGCACCTTCTTCACTGCTCCTCAACGAAAGCAAAGAGAGTTTCGCACAGTACTTCACATGCTGAGACAAATGCCTGTGCACGCGCCTTGCCGCATGCGCAAATGATAGCGCTCCGTCTTTGCGAGCCAGAACACAAAGGAAGACTTTGGCCATCGTCCTTAACGCCTATGCGTTTGTTGTCTTGCACAGAGGATTCAGAACCACTTTGCAATACAGATGCTTACGTTGACTGCATGGACCTCTTTGAATTGGCCACCGGCCAGAAGGGTGTACCATTGGATAAAGGACAGCGCCTTGGAATTTTTTGCGATTCGTGAAGAACGGCGTACACAGCGCTTGCGCAGATTGTTCCATGTTCAGAC